TGTATCTGTGTGCTGTAACCTAGAAAACTGCAGGCACCCACACACACACACTCACCCTTTGCTGGGCAGCGGAAAAAGTACAGCCACGACAACAGTTGCAAGCGCGCCGCCATTTTGTTGTGTTCTGGGCCATGTCCCGAAACTAGGCCAATTCGCCGGGCTGCCTCTGCCTCTCGGCCATTTCTAATTGCAACTCATTTGCGGGAAAGTGTGTGAAGGTTTTTTTTTTAGATTTTAGCTTCTAGCCAGAATGAAATCGAAATGAAAATGAAAAAGTTTTTCGGCTCGTGGCAAAGGTTTGCCAAAAGATGTTTCGCAAACATTTGGATTGCATGCCAAGCTGCCACAATGTTGTTGCCGCAAGATGGCTCGAATGGCAATTTGTTCATGTCCCGAATGGGGACAGGGCGTTACAATAGAGAACACGGGGGCACATAGCCGCATAGTATATAGGCGAGATGCCATCTGATGCGATGCCAGGCACATATTGAATCCGGCCATAAGCAGAAGGCCGGCAAAGTGTGTCAGAGGCGCGGGCCACAAAAACCCAATGCCAAATTCCGCATTCGGCAATGCGCTTTTTGTTTTTTTTTTTTTTTTGGGCTGTGCCAATGCGGATGGCAAAAGTGCACTGAAAAAATAAACAAGGCGGACATCTATAATTATTAAAAGACATCTTTACTGCAAGTTTTCTTGCCTTTTTCAAGGCAAATATAGCCAGGAATTGGCCAGGTTAAAACTGCAGCAAACCAGAAACACACACAGACACACACACTTGGTAAAATGCACAGCGAGAAACGAGGCCAAACGATGAGCTGAAGCTATTGGCTCGAGTGTCCGCTTCGTTTTGTTTCGTTTCGTTTTGTCACCTTGAACATGAAAATTGGCGCTGCATTTGTTGCTCTTGCCATTTAGCCATTTAGCCGCTTTTCCGTTTGCATTTGCACTTGGCACAGATCGAGAGAGCCCGGCCAGGCCAGGCCCGGTGGAAAAGTCAACAGAAAATATGCATTTTTCCAATACGGAAAATCCGGGGCAGCGCCACCAACTGCGTATTTGTTGAGTTCCATTGGTGTGTGTGGCTTTGCCTTAGTCACATTTGTGCAATTATGACAAATTTATGAGTTCGTTTCTCCCACACAGATACACAGATACTGACACGCACGAGTGCCTGTTTCTGGGCACTCCTGCAACTGACTTTTGACGGATTGTGGCAGCAATTTCCTTTCGCATTTTCTCATTTCGAGACCCAACCTGAGACACTTGACAGATTTGGCGATTAGTTTCAAAACTTAAAGTTTCCTTAAGTGTTCAAGAATGTGTAGAATACTTGCATTTTGCAATTCACATTTATATTGTTAACCCTTTTTTGTTGGCCCGCTGAAATCTGGTTCTAGGTGTAGGCTGCCCGGCTGTCAGTCAATTGCTCTGTCATTTATTCTGCTTAAGGTGTAATTACATTTGTGCCCAGCTGGTTTGCTTCTCAGTCATTACTCATACGCCCCGTGCCCCCGTAAGAGCGCGACTGTTGCCTTTGCCTTGTTGCCTAGCCTTTGAGCCAACGCAGCCAAGATGTCGACACTTTGGCCAAGTCATTTGCAGTCGCTAATGCCCCACAAATTGCACATCTAAGGGACCTGCCAGCGAATGGCTTTTAGCAGAACAATTAATTTTTTAATAATAACTCAATAAAGGCGAGCGCGCAGCTAAGAAAAATGACTTGTAGATAAATTTAAATCGCTTCCTAATCAGAATTCAAGGTTAACTGCCATATGAGTGAAATTAATACACACACGATGCTGATGCTGAGCTAATGCTGATGCTGATGCTGACGTCGATGCTGGTTTGCTGGTTTTATGTACAAAGTGCCGAAGGCAGCAATTGTTGGTTGCTTGAGTATGTGCCTTGTGGTGTGTGCGGTGCGGTGCGGTGTCGGTTCGGTGTTCACTGCACGGTGTTTGGTGAGTGTGAGCGTTGTTGATTCAAGGTTGTAGCTGCAGAGCCATAGCCCCTCAAAGGGGCACTCGTTCACATTTTAATTAAATTTTGCCATATATCTGTTGCTGCTCTGTCCCGATTTCTTTCTTATTTTCTGTCTCTCGCAATAAGCCAGCAGAAAGTTAAGAAATACAAGGAATATGTACAGGCCAAAAGCACAGGTGGTACAGCACAGCAAAAAAGAATCATAAATATAAATTTAATCTTATTTAGTGAGCGGCGGGGGCTTGTTTAAAAATAAATGGAAATGCAGTAGTTTGTTCTTCTCCTCTACCACTGCCAGCTGCCATCTGCCTCTACCTCTGCAGAAAGCGCGAACATTTGTCAAAACGACCGAAAAGGCCATGCCGCACACCAGTACAGTGAAGCACCCATACCAGCAACCTGGGACACGTGTGCAGCGCCATGTTGGCTGGCCGCGAGTATAGTTTCCTCCGTTGTTGTTTGTGTTTCAACTGTCAGGCATTGCGAAAGCTTAATGCCAGCTAACCGCAACCGCTCCCCCTCCACCCCCTCTTGCACCGGCTCTGAATCATCGCCGTGCACCCGCCGCGCAGTCTGCTCGGCCCGTGCACTATAATTTGCCAGTTTGCTTTGGCTTTGGCTTTGTTTTTGCCTTTTGATATTATAAAACAAATTAGTTGGAAAAAACTATGCTATACTATAAGTCGGAATTTGAAAAGTTTTATACTTAGCGAGGGCGAAAGGGGTGCGGGGCACTTGGCGTGTGCAATTAGCCGCATCTACAAAGTGAATGGTGAAACGGGTATCAAAGGGTTGGCCCAATTAAGGCGAGCAGAGCGAAAATTCAGTGGAAAAGTCTGGGGAATTTCAAGGGGAAATTCTATATGATGTTCAGCACCAGCTTAGAGGTTACTTTTCTCAACAGTTTGTCACCACAAATCGCACATACTAGCATGCAATCGTGGCCGAGTGCATTCTTAATTTCCCCTCTAGAATTGACTTGTGGCCTCACCACTCAAGCACCCCCAAGCTGTGGCCAGAGAAGAGCATATGGAAATTTATGAAGGAGCGTTTAGCCACCCATTGCGGTTGCCTTGGCTTTTCAGTTAATGGCTGGCAGCCTTGCAGGCGGCAACTGCAATGGCAGTAGCAGTAGCAGTGGCAGTGGCGAAAAGGGCCTTGATTAAAAGGCAACCGCTGTGGCAGGCGACCCCGATTGTCACGACAAGTGACGGTGGCGGTAAATGCACATAAATCTGCATTTAAAACAATAACCCGCAGACAAAAGCCAGTGAGTAATTCCTTGCACTTTATTTTATATCATTTCATTTAACTCCGTGACACGCTGGCAAACCGAAGGTTAATCATAAACTTCCAGCATCCCACAGTGCGTATGAGTAATATCGCATTACGTATACGCCACGTGGCCGCCTTGAAGAGTGCACTTTGGTGCGGCACATCACATAGCCAAACAAACAGCTGACAAACTGACAATAATTGCGCACAATTAGACATTAATTGCATTCGTTCTCAAGTGATCGCTAGCTTCAGCCCCCTCGCCCTGTCATCCATCATCCATCCACCATTCCATCAATTCATCAAGCTATCAAGCTATCGAGCTATCCAGCGACCAGCTGGCTCGTATTTTGAGATGCAAGATGCGGAAATGCGGCATATATCTTTTCAATTAACCAGCCACGCCTTGGCAAAATAAACTTTTCCATTGTGTTCGTTTGTGCATTTGTTTGTTTGCATCCATCCATCGGACCCCCCAGCCAAAAGTGGGCGTGGCTGTCGGGACTCTGACATAAATTCAAATGCGCACTCCCAGCCACACAAATATAGCCACAAACAGTCAGCAAAAGCACAAAAAATGACTAACCGACAGATGGAGCAGGAAGTTTTTGACGCTTTTGGCCAGCTATTTCGGCCATTGGTTGTGCAACAGGTATGGAAAGTGAAAGTCCAGCAGCTGGGAGTGAAGTCTTGAAAGCGTCTGACTAATTGAAATGGAAAATTGCTTGAAACTTTAATGTTTTTGTTGAAAAGTTTAAGTTTTTATTTAAAACCACATTTGTTTTAGCTTCCTCGATAAACAATTTATTTATTTAAAGTCTCTTGAAATTCTTTCAGTGCTTTTGGGCTTGTCGGTATGTAAATAAAACAAATAACCACCATATGAAAATCTAATCAGACTTTCAAGGTTAACATATTCTAGCTGCTGTTGCTGCTGTTCACTTTGATATTTGTTCTTCTCATTGTTGTTGCTACCTGGTCGTTTTTAGGGTTTTGTGTGTTTGCTGTTAAGAGCCCTTAAAAGCTCTAAACGAAATAGCCAAACACACAAACGAGCTGGCACATGCTAGGCGAAAAAGCGTAACTAGTTGGGCAAACAACCGGCCGACTGTCAGCTAGAAAAAAAAATGAGAAAAAACACTGAAACTGAAAAGCTGGGACGGCTGTTGCGTAAGTTTTGTTTCGGTTCTTGATTTCAGGCGTAGGCCCTTAAAGTTCAAACATAATTAATTAAAGAGCCAACTCCACAGCCAACCAACCGTCTGGCTGTTACGTCGACCGATATTGATTTTGTTTGCCTAGAAGCGTGTGTGCCTTTGCTGTTGGCCAGTACTTCTGGGTGAAGTTAACGAGCTGCTGACATTGCCCTTTTGTGTGATTGATGTCGTAGCTGTTTTTTGCTTTTGTAGCTCCTACGACCGGGAATCGTTTTCGACATTTATTTGATTTTTTTTTTTTTTTTTTTTGTGGATGATATTTGTGATGCCCTTGCCGCTGCCACACACGCTGCGTATGAGTAATATCAAGTATACGTCGTGTGGCCGTGCCAAGAATAAGCCGCTCGACATTTACATAATTATGGCAATTAAAATCTATACACAAAGTTGCAATTAAAATGCAGCAAAGCGTCACGCTCCACCGCCGTCAGCCCAGATTCCTCTTCTGACCACATTCCACGGCCCCTTCCCCCCTCTTATATATATGCATATGTATAGGTATATAAAATGTATCACATAACTCACCTTTTTCTTACGCTCCTCCTTGAAGTCACTGACAATTCCCTCGTCCGAGGTGGACACGGATGTTGTGCGTATGCGTGCGCTGGCCGCCTCCAAGGACGACATGGCTATGGGACTGTGGTGGGCGTGGCCGTCGTCGCTCAATGGCGGCGAGGCAGAGCCGGAGCTCCAGGAGGCCGACGAGCTGCTGCCAGGACTCGAGCTCAGCTCGTGCCATTTGTCGGCTATTTGCGTAACGAAAATAATTAGTCATCAGGGAAGTAAGATTGTGAGGGATAGATGGGATAACCTACCGCCAAGTTTGTGTTCATGGGATTTAAGATTCATGAGAATCATGGCTGCATTAAGTTCGACCTCCTTGCTGGGACCGTAGTCCTGGTGATCGCTGGGCGGACGTTTCCGTGAGCTGCAATGAAAGAATTGAAAACATTTTAGAGAATGACCTTTATCCCTTGTTTGGAAAATCAATTTTGTGTGTCCCAGTTCTAAGACATGATGTTATCAGCCACCCCCGCATAAACGATAAAGATATAGACACGCAGGCATATCGGCAGCTTTAGCTTTCCGACTTCAAAGTGACCGCCCATGGCTGTTTTCGTTGTAATTTGCACAACAATAATGCGACGAGGTCTTTGCAACGATAATCGCTCCGAGCGGAATCGGAATTTCAATGCAAAACATGGCGAAACTATTTTTCCATTTAACTCATTTCAGTGGCCATTGTGTTTGTTATTGTTTCGTCATTAATTGGCCTCCTTCCTACGTCGGATGGCTGGGATAGCTAGATGGCTAGATGGATGGCCTCACATATTTGAAGCTATTGAGTGTAGATTTCAGATGGATTCTCCACGCAACGCACTCGGCTTGAAGCTAACCTTGGGACAACCTTCAGTGGCCAAAATCGGAGAGAAAGGGATATTGCTTTATGAACAGCGCTTTTTACGCTTCAGATATATATTTAAACACAAAGGCGCCCCAGAACGCTTAAGAATGCAGCCAGTTGGATGGTGAGAAGGCATTGAAATAAAGACGCGACAGTCGTGTCATAAATTCAAAACATTTGAAACGGAAAAACTGATTTGGAAAATCCAGCGCCACACAATCATGCTGAGTGGCAGGGACTGAGTTTGAGTTTAAGCTTTTGGCTGTGCACATAATTGAGCTAAATGCCAACAATTGAGACGTCGTCATGGCCATGGCCATCGTCGTCGAGTGGGCGATGGCTGAAAGGGGGATTTGGCCAAACACTCGCTGCGTGCCGGGCTTAAAGTTTGGTGGAGCAGCGCAGGTGCCGGGCCACTAAGAATAGCAATGGTTTATGGATGGTCCAATGCAGTCGCTGCATCAAGCAATTATTGATGCTTAGACTTAAGCGGCTTATTTGCCAGATTGGTACTGTAGTTGCTTTGCAGCTTGCCAAAGGAACTCTTTCCTAGCTATGCAGGAACTTTGCTTTTGTTATCTCCCGGCCATCTACTGCTGCTGCTGCTGGGGCTCAGGGCCAAAACATCTCGTCCCGACCAACAAAACACAAAACACAACACTCGTGCTCGGCCCCCTCCACTGTAAAATGTGAAAAGCCTCGAGCCATGAGACTATCCAGGCCCAGTCTGGCATCCTTTCTCGCTAAGCTGTGGCTATAAAATTTTATTACACTGCTACCTGGTTTTAGCCTTTTGTCTAATGCTGGCACCTCTGGATTTCCGCTCGCCAGTCCCCCAATTAAATTTACTAAACTCAACGATAAATTTTTGCCGCAGATCGTTGCTAATCGCATAAAAGTAAATTCGCGCATAAATCGCGCATTTTCCCCGACCATTGCGAATCTGTGGCAGCATTAGCTCCGCCGATCCGACGATCCGGTGATCCGCCGATCGGGACTGTTTTCCTGCTCATTTCAGCCAAGCCGGCCGGCAAAAGGCGCGTGCCTGACGGACATGACCGGGGCTGAGTTTTCTTTTGCCAGAGGATTGGGTTTGGAGGCCAGAGGGGTCGGACGGTAAAGGGGTTTAGTCATCACGATGCGGCCATTTAATGCGCACAATCGGTACCGTTAGCCAGCAGAGTTTTCTTTTTGCCTGCTTTCCGCCCCATTGCGCAGCGTTCGTTGGAAAAACTTTAATAAACTGCAAGAGCATTTGTGTTGCATTGTGCTGTGGCAGTTGCTTGGCTTGAAGTTGCTTTTGACCAGGTCTCCTGTTTTGGCTAACTCACTGCGTGGCCGCACGTAAATTGCCACAATACGGGGGGTGAGGGCAGCCGCGAGGGCGGCGACCTGGCCGAGGATCGGTGGTGGTGCCGCTGCAACGATGTGGCGCGTGATTGAAATGCGATATATTCGCGCCCGATTTTGGGGCCAGCATTTTGAGCTTGAGCCTGGGAAATGCTTTTCAGCCATGCTTTTCACCTGGTTGGCCCGCTCTTTTGCTGTTTTGCTGTTTTGTTGGCAATTATTTGCCCAAGTTTGTTGGCCGCAATTGCAACTTAGTTTGCTGGTTGCATGCTGCATGTTGCTCTTGCCCAGGCCGCAATAAAAACAAGAAAAAAGAGGTGTTGAAAGCAAAATTACATTGCAATGTCAGGAAGTAAGAGAGATGCGATATGATAGGCCAAAAGGAGGATTAGCTTAGCCAAGACGTCTTGGAGTCGGCAGACTTGGTCGGCAGTCGGAGTCGGAGACGGAGTCGTTTGCATGCAGCGGCGAAATTAGCTGAAATTGCATGAAATTCACTGCAACTCGAGTTGATTTCAGTGTGCGGTTTTGCAATTAAAGCTTATTGAATTAGCCACGTGCTCGAGATTTGCTTTTGTTTCTGTACATTGTCTTTGGTTCGGGGCATGGGGAAACTTTCACCAAAATTGCATAGGGAAAGAAAGCCAGACCCTCAATGACTAGGAGGCTAGGGCTCCAAATCCAATTCCGTGGCGAGACAAAGCGACTCCAACAAAAAATAAAAAGGCCCCCTCAGATATCGGCCAATCGGCAATCGGAATCTAAAACCATTTTCAAGTGTAATTTATACGCAGGCAAACACAAAGAATGAAGCCCCCTCGAAATGGCACACAAAAAACTGAAGCAAAGTCGTTGCCTGATTTCTGTGATTAGAGCCGCAGAGAGCCTCCAACTTCATTGAGGGTTTTTGTGCTTTCGCTTATCAGTTTGCACGATAAGAGCCAAGATTCTTTGAAAACACACACTCACACTCCCACACATATCTCCGTTTATTCAAGCCAATGTCAACACAGCCCCAACAAAAGCGGAAATGTTGGTCCAAAAACAAAAAGTGGTAGAAAAAAAAACAGCAAAACAGCAGAGGAGTCGAACAAGTGAAGGTAAATACGCTTCAGACAAAAGGCAATCGGGTTGTGACAGGTATTTGGCCAAAAAAATGGATCGATTTGAAAATGTTTCTTGCAAGGTTTAAGCCATAACTACAATATTTTTCGTTTTTAGCCAAAAAAACCAACCAAATCTGTAGCCAAAATGTCTAAAACTTGTACGCATTTTTATAGTTTAATATTTCTTTCCGTTTTATGATTTGTTTTTTTAGTTTTCTGGCCCATGACGTAGCCAGACGAATTTAGTAATTTTTGTTGATTTTTTTTTGCTTCTTTTATTTTGATTTTTATTTTTGGCCAGGCCCGAAACGCAGACAAGTGCCTCGCATGGTTGTTAGCTGTTGTTGTTCAAGGTGTTTTTGCATTGCGTGAGGTGAGTCAATTTTTGGCCTCCACCACCCACTCACCTCCTTGTCTCGCCCTTTGACCCCCAGTTGTCTCTTGTGTTTCTCCCTGGGAGTATTTCCCACATGCCACAATTTTATTTGTTTACTTTGTTTATTTTATTTAAACAAGGCGACCTCTTTTTTGTTGTTTTCGCTGTTAATTTGGAGGTTTCATTTTTTGTCGCTGACACACATAATTTTTGTATTTTTTTTCCGCTTCTCCTTTGCCTCTTCTCTCGTTTTTTTAGCAAAAACGCACAATAAAATCGAGTTGAGCAAATAAAAGCGTGACTTTCGGCGATGTGGCCTCACGGCCAGGTAGCGCCAGACATTTAAAGAAATAAACAAACAACGAAAATCCACAATTTTTGCAGGTGAGCAGTGCACAATAAAAAATCAGGGTCTTCTTGAGGTTTTTTAAGGAAGGAATATTTTCAAGATTTCTTTCCTCATATTTCTCCAAGTGTAAATAAAATCGAAAACAAGGCTAGAGCATACATTGTGCGTATGGTAACTGTAAAATGTGTGTGTTTTTTAATTCAATGGCGCAGGTCTTCTCATCTCTCTCTCCCTCTCTCTTCTATTTTATCAGGCCATTTATGGTTGTGTGCGTGCCCGTGTACGACTGTGCGTATGCGTGATGTCTGTTTTTTTGCTCTGGCAAATGTTTACTTTTGGTTTATTTTGATTCGGGCCTCTGCTAATTTCTCGCCGCCTTCCGCCGCCTCAGATAACGGCAGCCGGCGACGGCGGCGCAACGTCAGAGTAGGCGTAGTAAATAGTTATGCTGGCATTGTTATTTGTTTTTTTTGCCTCTCTCTGTAGTTTTTTTTCCCGGTGCGTAGTTTTTTATGGTTTCTTTTTTTCAGATTGTTATTTCGGGTTGCTTACACTCGGGGCGGAGCACGTGCTCCCGTTTTTTTCCCACCATGAATGGAACTTTCTTGCCGCCCCAAAAAATATGGATCGCACCGGTGGGTAGTTCGTTTTTAAATTTCTGTGTAGCTCTGCACAGCAATCGGCAACTCAATTAACATTTGAAGCCAACGGTATTATCATTTCATTTTACTGCCAATGCCAAGAAGGAAGAAAGCCATCCGAGCTATGGCAAAAATCTGAATCGGAAAATCGACGGGCAAAAGACCAGAAAAACATTTAACAGCTTTCCTTTCTTGTTCATTTTCGGCCGAGGGACCCGACCCACATCGTTTACATAGCCGAATGGCGCTTTAAACATTTTTTTTTTTTGGCCGGCCAGGTCTATTTGGTTGGTAGAAGCTTGCCTGCCTGCCTCCTTTCACGTCGGAGAGGCTCCACGCCTTTTAGAGGCTCATTTGCACAAATTACTGGCATTGCGACAACGGCCAAGGAGGAGACAGTTGGGACAACCGGGACAGCTGTGGCACCAACAACAATGCAATTGTCTCTGGAAAAAGCCAAAGAAAAAGCCATAGTCATAGCCATAGTCAAAGGCAGAGCCAAAGCCTTGGCCAAAAGGTAAAGGCAAAAGCCAGGGAGAAGAAAAGCCAGCCCATGGAGACATTGTCACCACATTCCGGCAACGGAAGCCAGCCGGCGACCAAAGCAGATTGGCTATCGCCCCATGGGCCCAGTTTGCCTTCGAAAGGCCCAGACCCCGACCCCGCCTTGAAGCCCCCTGTAGGCCGGGCCTTTAAACCAC